ACTTCCCACTCGAGCTCTTAGTCCACTCATACCCCACATCAGTGCACCTGTGGTCCAGTCTTTCTCCTCTGCTGTTCCGAGAGTTTATATGTTAAGCTGACTCCTTTTTGCAGAGAAAACGTCACTGTGAGATACTCAGATCTATACATAAAGGCAAGGTGAGTGCCATCACATTGCTGAAATTAAAATGATCTAGATCTTGTAGTGGTGCCTGAAATGAGGCGACCTTAGAAATCAGGCTCCTTGATGGGGTAAAGGTGGAATATAATATATATATATATTAAAATACATTTTGAAATGAAACAAGTGTGCAAAGGTTTGTTTAGGTGCTGCGTGCCTGGCCTCAGAACCCCCAACCCCGGCACACCCGACTATTGAGTGGTAAATGAATGGACACAACAACAGTCTGGGATTTGAAATGGACACAGTTTTATTGATTTCAAATGTAGGAGGACTTGGACATGCATCCCACTGGGGAAACTGAGGCACGACAGCGTCTATTTGGGTGTGAGTCCATCACAAAACGCAGGTTCATGCGGATGGTCCCCAAACGCTGAGGGAAGCTATATGGCCCGCTTGCCCTACACAACTGGCTCTTTGGACAGACTTCCCTCCAGACCCCTTTAATGGGGTACCCTGTTATTGTCCCCCACAGAGAAATTGGGAGTGGGTGAGTCACGTTTCCGAGCACAATTCAAAGTGTTGGTGCTGACCTTTAAAGCCCTAAACGGCCTCAGTCCAGTATATCTGAAGGAGCGTCTCCACCCCCATTGTTCTACCCGGACACTGAGGTCCAGCACCAAGGGCCTTCTGGCAGTTCCCTCACTGCGAGAAGCCAAGTTACAGTGACCTAGGCAAAGGGCCTTCTCAGTAGTGGCACCCGCCCTGTAGAACACCCTCCCACCAGATGTCAAAGAGAACAGCAACTAGCAGACTTTTAGAAGACATCTGAAGGCAGCTCTGTTTAGGGAAGCTTTTAATGTTTGATGCATTACAGTATTTTAATATTTTTTTGGAAGCCACCCAGAGTGGCTGGGGAAGCCCAGCCAGATGGGCGGGGTATAAATAAATTATTATTATTATTATTATTATTATTATTATTATTATTATTCCAATTGGATGAAAGATTGTAGGGTTCCACCCAAGGCCTAAACTGTGACTAGCGCTATGGGGAAGGCGAAAACTGCAGCGCAGGGGAAATTCCTTCCTGGCCCCGAATATGGCAACTGGCAACAGACCACAGCAAAGCCCGCCTACCTGAAAAGGAAATGGTTAGAGCAGTAAAAGACAATTAATGGAGGGAGGGAAAGGGTGGGTGACTTTCCTGGCCGACTGGGTGCTGTGCTTGGGGGTCAACCAGGCTAAGTAGATGGCAGGCGGACCCAAAGGAAGCCTGTCTTCCTCCAGTCCACTCCCCATCCCCCACCACATCCCCTGTGGACACAGCAGATTAGCCAGCTAGAATGGATGGGTTTTAGTGGGGACCCATGTGTGATGTTAACATATGAGAGTGCTGGAGGTGAAATAGTTAAACAGGTTACCCAGTCAGAACCCAGGGGGTGGAGTCAGAGGGCCTATAAAACCAGCTCTGGAAGGGGTGAAAAGGGAGTTCGTTGGGAGTTGGGTGGTTGATTGGAGTAGGAGTGAATTGGGATAGAGACGTGGGTGGCGCTGTGGGTTAAACCACACAGCCTAGGGCTTGCCGATCAGAAGGTTGGCGGTTCGAATCCCCATGACAGGGTGAGCTCCCGTTGCTCGGTCCCTGCTCCTACCAACCTAGCAGTTCAAAAGCACGTCAAAGTGCAAGTAGATAAATAGGTACTGCTCCGGCGGGAAGGTAAACGGCGTTTCCATGCACTGCTCTGGTTCACCAGAAGCAGCTTAGTCATGCTGGCCACATGACCCGGAAGCTGTATGCCGGCTCCCTTGGCCAATAAAGCGAGATGAGCGCCGCAACCCCAGAGTCAGCCACGACTGGACCTAATGGTGAGGGTTCCTGTGGGTAGGTTGAATTAGTTTAGCAAAATAAGCTGAGTCAGGAACAGTTAGGAGCTAGGAAGACAAGAAAATATCTGAAAGGTGGTTTAGTGAGTGAGAGCAGGTAGCGGAAGTTATAGGTCTGGATAGGTACCCCAAGATTGTAATTGACTGATACCTTTTATGAAACCACACGCTTGTTAAACTGCAATAAATAAACAGAGGTTTATGTTCAATTTAACCCTGACTGGACTCAGTATTGTACCAGGTAGGGCCTGGGTGGTGGCAGTGAGAAATAAAGTGGTGGCACAGGGATCAATAGATGGGGACCCTGTGTAATCGTCACACCATGAGCCTCCGCAGCAGCTGAGGGGGATGGGGAGACAAAGATGGAAAGGCAGGAAGCGGCCATTGTCTTGCTCACAAACTGCAACCTTGTATGTTAACTTCCATAGAAATCTGCAATATTTGCAACATTAATGCATTCAGGTTTCACCCTCCTTTGCTTTAATTAGCTGTCTTGGAGATTGGGCACTAGCCTTTGATTAAAAAGCATTTCCTAAAATGAGATGGGGGGAGCAAACCTGCTTTCAGGAACCCTACTTCTTCAGATGTTAATCAGATTTTTTCAATATGTGTTGATGATGCTGAAGATGAAAGACTTAAAAACAGGTCAGACAGAAGGCAACATAAAAATAAAAAAACCCTCTGTTTAATTAGCATCTATTTTTTACACTCCTTTTTGATATCCCCATTTAGATACTTAGCCTCACTTTAAATCTATTACATCTCAGTTGTGCCTCTACCAAGCTGTCAGCGAAACCAAATTCATTTTTCTTGCCTAAAATTTGAGGGAGGGGGGAATTAAAAATATGAGTAGTTTATGAGCATTGTTTGAAGTTCAGCTTCCATATATTAACTAGACTTAATTAAACTTCCTGCCAAAGAAAAGGTCCTTATTATGTAGCATAAAGGAACACTTTTACTTTCTGTGTACTATGTACTCAACAAGAGTACACGTGGTCTGTCACACAAATAGTCTTTGATTTCCCATTCCTTTTACAGAAAGACCATTGTTCATAAATGCATGCAGAAAGGGTGCAGTTTATTTCCCACCCTAAAATTTGTAATGAAGACGAGATATGTATCTACAAATGGGGCATGAAAAACAGCAGACTTATTAACTAACAAGATTTGCAATATGAACAGCAGAGTAGCTGAAAGCAAACAAGAGTCAATGTGGGCTCCTGCCATTCAAATTACATTTCTCCTGCTTGCCAATCAGTGGTGGGCAATTGCAGCCTGACTCCAGTCACCCGACTGATCTGTGCTTATCCTTCCCTGCTTATGGGATGTAGAAGAGGCACCTGGCCATTTCATGTCACCGTGGCATGACAGCCTCTGTAGTTCTCAGATTGGTTTGACAATTCATCTATCTGCCTAGGAAATCCTGAGAACTGAAGCTTTGTGTGTGCATGGAGCGGAAAAGGGTCTCCTAACAACTCTCAGATGCAGGTACTCTTGGAGGAGACTGATTTTCCAGATCCATTTCAATCGGGGTTTCAGCCTGGATTTGCCACAGAAACTACCTTGGTTGCATTATATGATGAGCTCTGTCAGGAGAGAGACTGGGCATTTTGATACCATCAGCCACTGTATCCTCCTGGAGAGGCAGTCCAAGTTGGGGGTGGGGGCCCTGCTTTGTAGTGGTTCTGATCCTTCTTGGATGGTCATCTTGAATGAGTGATGCTTTGGGAGTGCTTTTCAGCACCATGGAGCCCTTCAGTGAGGGCTCCATGTTTCAGGGCTCAATTCTATCACCATGTTGTTTGATATCCATCCGAAACCACTGAGTGGAGTCACCCAGAGTTTCCTAGTGTGCTGTCAGTAGCGTGCTGATGACACACAGTTCTATTCCAGATAGATAAAGATAAAGTCGCTACCAGAAAAGAAAGGCAGATTAAGTTGGTGGATTATGCCAAAATGGCTAAAATGACCGGAAGAATCAGAGATCAGGAAGACCAACATTTTAATAAGGAATGGGGAAATTTACAATTTATCTTAAAAACCATTGTGAATAGCTAAAATCAGTAGCAGGATTGGAATAACACTTGTAGTTTAATGGTGAATTTTGGATACGATGGAGATGTAAAAGATTTGGATTATCATAGAAGATGCAGGAGGAAATGATTAACAATAGGACCCACAAAGGGGAGGAGGGAAGTCCAGGATATTCTCTGGAATTTTGTTTTTATGAGGTATGTTGGATATGTAATTGTAACATTTTAATCTGAAAAACCAAATAAATAAATTTAACAAAAAACAAAAACCACATAGCTCTATTTTTCATTTACATCTATAGGCATGACAGTAGATGGGCTGGACCAATGTCTTGCCTTGGTAATGAACTGGGTGAGAGCCAAAAAACAGCAGCTCAATCCAGATAAGACAGAGGCACTGTTTGTGGGTAGTTCCCTAGACTGGACGGATGGGAGACTGCCTGTTCTTGAGGGGGTTACACTCCTTCTTACAGAGCAGATATGTAGCTTGGCGGTGTTCCTGGGTCCATTACTGTCACTTGAGGCCAAGGTGGCCTCAGTGATGCAGAGTGCCTTCTGTCAGCTTTGGCTGCTGACCCAGCAGCGTCCCTCTCTGGACAGGGGCAGCCTAACTTTTGGGGCCTATGCTCTGGTAACCATTAGATAGGATTACTACCACGTGTCATATATGGGGCTGCCTCTGAAGATGGTTCAGAAACTTCAGCTGGTGCAAAATTAAATAGCCAGATGGTTTGAGCATATGCCCATCCTGGCCCAGCTGCTGAATAGTTCTGAGCCCACTTCAAAGTGCTCAGGCTTAGGACTATAATACCTCTCCTCATTCGAACCAACCTGGCCCCTGCACTTCACCCTTCTCTTTGTCCTCCTCCCTTAGAGGGTCAGAGGGTGGCAACACAAGAATAGGCCTTTTCTGTGATGGCTCTCCGATTGTGGAATGCTCTCCCTAGAGAGACTCACCTGGAGCCATCACTACATGTCTTTAGGCACCAGGCAAAAACATTCCTATTTACCCAGGCCTATGGCTAGTAGAAAGTGAGGAGGAGTTAAACTTCTAATGAGGGTGAAAGAAGAGAGTGCAAAATATGGTCTGAAGCTCAACATCAAAAAAACTAAGATCGTGGCCACTGGTCCCACCACCTCCTAGCAAATAGAAAGGGGAAGAAATGGAGGCAGTGAGAGATTTACTTTGTTGGGCTCTATGATCACTGCAGATGGTGACAGCAGTCACGAAATCAAGGTACCCCTGACCGTTAGGTCCAGTTGTGGATGACTCTGGGGTTGCGGTGCTCATCTCGCTTTATTGGCCAAGGGAGCCGACATACAGCTTCCAGGTCATGTGGCCAGCATGACTAACCCGCTTCTGCAGAATACATCATGCAAAAAGCTGGAATGGATGAATCCCAAACCGGAATTAAGATTGCCAGAAGAAATATCAACAACCTCAGATATGCAGATGACAGAACTTTGATGGCAGACAGTGGGGAGGAATTAAAGAACCTCTTAATGAGGGTGAAAGAGGAGAGTGCAAAATATGGTCTGAAGCTCAACATCAAAAAAACTAAGATCATGGCCACTGGTCCATCACCTCCTGGCAAATAGAAAAGGAAGAAATGGAGATAGTGAGAGATTTTACTTTGTTGTGTTCCATGATCACTACAGATGGTGACAGCAGTCATGAAATTAAAAGACGCCTGCTTCTTCGGAGAAAAGCGATGACAAACCTAGACAGCATCTTAAAAAGCAGAGACATCACCTTGCCAACAAAGGTCTGCATAGTTAAAGCTATGGTCTTCCCAGTAGTGATGTATGGAAGTGAGAGCTTGACCATACAGAAGGCTGATCACCGAAGAATTGATGCTTTTGAATTATGGTGCTGGAGGAGACTCTTGAGAGTCTCATGGACTGCAAGAAGATCAAACCTATCCATTCTGAAGGAAATCAGCCCTGAGCGCTCACTGGAAGGACAGATCCTGAAACTGAGGTGCCAATACTTTGGCCACCTCATGAGAAGAGAAGACTCCCTGGAAAAGACCCTGATGTTGGGAAAGACTGAGGGCACAAGGAGAAGGGGATGACAGAGGATGAGATGGTTGGGCAGTGTTCTTGAAGCTACCAACATGAGTTTGACCAAACCGTGGGAGGCAGTGGAAGACAGGAGTGCCTGGCATGCTCTGGTCCATGGGGTCAGGAAGAGTCGGACACGAATAAACGACTAAACAACATCAACAACATGGCTAGTAAATAATCTATGGCCTGTTAAAACTGTGTAGGGGGACTGTTATTATGATTATTTTATTATTATGCTTTTTAATGCTTTTATCATTATGCTCTGTAACATGTATTCTTAATGTTGTGCACCACCCTGGGAACTTTTGATAAAGGCAGTATATAAATGGAATCATTATCATTATCATCATCAACAACAATAGCCAAACTACACTTCCCAGAAGTGTAGTTCCACTCTGGGGAAAGCCACAACTATTTTAAATGGTATGATACTGCTTTTAATAAATAACACAGATGGGGTCTGAAGACAGTCTACAATGCTTTCCAAATCTATAATAAACTATAGAGAGATCCCAATTAAATCACAAATGTTGACATTGGGAAGGGGGGAAAGGCCCTGTTCTATCCTGCCCAATCTGTCTCAGGGGAAGAAGGCTCATGGCGTTGTCAGTAAGGATAAGGAGGAAGGAAGCAGAACATACCTTGAGTGGGGGATATGTGCGCGTGGATTTAAAAAGCAATTCAGCAAAATTGAACACATCTTTATTTGTATTTGTGTCAGCCTGTCAGTCAATACCCAAGTGACATGGAAAATATTTATGAAAAGCAGACAGAACGTGTTATAAAGATTTCAGAAACTGTTAGAAATTTGCAGCTGCCAAAGAACTTGAGAATATTTCCTCCCTGACTTCCTGTTCCAGCCAGTGACAGGATGGCCTCTGGTTCAAGTCGATGATAGTGTGGCCTTTATTCAATTTACATGAACAAGGCTATTTCAAACTTTCAAATGAATGTCCTGGCATTTGTTCTGATGCATCAGTCCCTTCTGCACTGTCGGTAGGGTATAAATAGCAATAAATAAGTAATCAGAATGTATTAATTGCTATCCTTTCCCACCTTCCGATTTAATATCCCCCAAAGCCCTTGTTAAGATATTTGCAAAACCTCCAGTTACATAGGAAGTGTTGCTGGTGGTGCGAATGTGTCAAGGCTTTAACCTTCCAGAAATATTCATGCAGTGAGTAGGATGCAAATGCTCTTAATTAGACCCACAGCTCATAAAATGAGCTCACAAGTCATTTCTTCCATGACTCTTAGCAGTGCAGAGAAATGGATGCTCAGAAAGCAGTGTAACTCCCATATACTGTAATATGGAGCCTGGTATGGATGCACATTTCCTGGATTTGCTGTGACATAGGAACAGAACAGATTGGAAGTAACCAATTCTGCCATCCATCTTCTCTCATAGTCCATCTGTACTGTGACAAAGTATCTTTATAAAGCCCACTATCAAAAATCTTAACAAGTATGTAAGGAAGCAACGGGAGTAATGCGGGCAGCTAAGAAAACTCAGCTTCTGCCGTAAACTAAAAAACATTTTAAGTACATGCTCAGAATTAGAATGTATTCTGAGGTTACATAGTACGCATCAGCACAAGTAATAAAACCCTGATAGCCACTACTTCTCTACAAAGTAGCTTCAGGAAAAAGCAATTTGCAGCAGGGAGGTGAGTAATACTTCCCTGCCTGCCAATATCTCTTGGAAATTGTCGCCAAAGCCTCTTTTCCTCATCATGGGGTTCAAGATGCCTGTTTGTGGTTTGAAATTAGGGTTGCTTCCAAATTTGCCAGCCTCTAATTTCCCCTCCAGACACAGTTGTTACGATTTAACTTGTCCCAGTTACTGAGTGCCAGACCCGTCGGTATATTTGCTTTGTGGTTGAATCTGTCCATTTCAGTGTCTCTTTTTTTCTAATCGCCTCCAAATTTTTGCCAGCATTCTAATGCACGCGTTTCCTAATATACACATTTTTGCAAGACATCTCCCCTAATATGGTGCATGCTACTTTTTACTACTATGTGCATTTTAATGCACACTTGCTCCAAATGAACACGTTTTGGTGCGCCTTGCTTAACTGGAGGCCTGCATCACAAAATTCAGAGAAGTGTGAATTTCAAAGGATAAGATGTGTTTCATTTGCATACTGTTCCGGGAAGTGCAAAACAGCTAGTTTTGCATTAAAACTGAATGTTTCCTTCCTTAGTGGAGGTGCATGTCATTAACACTCACACACTCCTTTACTATCCTTGAAATTTCTCATGTGATTATAAAGATATGTATCCCCCTTTTCACCGTTGCCAAAGTATAGTCAAGGACTGCTAACCCTGAGAGCTGAATTTCCAGCAACCCACACCTGCAAGTGTCAGACAGTGGGTGTGGCCAGCAAACACTTGCTGGGAGAAGCATCTGCTACCAGACTCCCAATACACTCCCAATGCACATCGTTTCCTTAAACAACAAAACCTGTGGCTTTTTACGTTTTCCTTTCCTTGGCTCTGACAAAAAGATATGTGCTCCTCTGACTGATCCTGGCAAGAGCTAAAACTACTGCTAGACTACAGGGAACTTACTGAAGGAAGCCTCCCATGTGCTGCTGAGTCAGGAGCAGTGACAGATCTACATTTTTGGGGCCTCAGAAGCATGAACTGTCGGGGCGCCCCTTTGCAACCAGCAATGAGGGATTGGGTAACCACTGTTATCCTCTTCAGTGGGGTCCCAGGACAGATCCCACACCTTTACAAAATCTGTGCTACCGACTCTCAATTTTTGGGATCGTTGAAATATATGCAACAAAAAATTAACAGGTTAGAGTCAAATTGGGTCTATTAGACCCACAAATTTCAAGCAATGAGGTCCAAAGCCACTTCTGGGGCCCCTCCGGATCAGGGACTCTGAAGCTTAAGATTGCTTAGTTTCATAGTAGATCTGCCCCCTAGTTAGGAGATAGCTTCTGGAGGGATTTACAGCACTCTGGGATCTCTGAAAAAACAGGAGGAACATGGGAGAATGACAGGGAGGAGGGAGACACAGGAAAAAGCAATAACATTTGCAAAAATTAAAAGGCTACTGCTGCCACCATCCATCTTGAAGCCTAGAAGTTGTGGAGCCTTGACTGACTCCAGCTGCAAAAGCTGAGGCTGCTGAAAAAACTCTTCCACTGGATGGTTTGTGGCTGTTTTTTTGGTGTATGTCTTTATTTCAGATCTTGTGATTTATGTGGAAATTGTTCAGTTTGGTTGTGTATTTTTAAATGTTTTATTTATTGTTTATGGCTACATTGTAGTTATGTATTTTTTCATGTTGTAAGCTGCCTTGAGAATTGTTTGGACTGTGGGAAGTTGGCATACAAATAAAATTATGCATGTATGTGTCTTGGTGGGGCACAATAAACTTTCAGTGAGGAGCTTATTATACCATCCCTGGTATAATATATGTACAATTTGTGGATTAACCATTCTGACAAATATGGGGAAATGTTTAACACTTCTATGCCCCAAATATCTTGGCAGCAGCATTTACTCTCAGGAAAGTTCCCTTTTCCCATCAGATGCAGGATCATTTTCCTGATCTGAGAATCCCAATGCTGGAGAGCTGATATTCTTTCTTCTCGTATGCATTTCAGAGCTGAAAAGAACAGCCCTGAAAAAAGAGGTGGTGGTGAGAAGTTCAGACATTAGTCAACTAATGCTAGGTTTGCCCATGTTTGCCACTTCTTTTTCTTTCAACATTTAAAAAGACTTGCAGAGTACTCCCAGTGGCTTGACAATAGCACAGTGATGCTCCTCCTGTAAAAGGTTAAACAATAACTAGCTATCTCAGTTCAGACGGAGAGAGAAGCAGAAAGTGCAGAACAATTCTTACAAACTAGCCAATCCCATGGTATAGTAACTCACTTTTGATGTTCCTTAAAAAAAACCAAAACGCTAAAAAGAAAATAGAGATACCTCATGTATCTCCAGTGTATCACACCAGTGTGGTGTATTGGTTAAGAGCAACGGACTCGTAATCTGGTGAACCGGGTTCGCATCCCCATTCCTCCACATGCAGCTGCTGGGTGACCTTGGGCTAGTCACACTTCTCTGAAGTCTCTCAGCCTCACTAACCTCACAGAGTGTTTGTTGTGGGGGAGGAAGGGAAAGGAGATTGTGAGCCATTTTGAGACTCCTTCGGGTATTGATAAAGTGGGATATCAAATCCAAACTCCTCCTCCTCCTCCTCTTCTTCTTCTTCTTCTTCTTCTTCTTCTTCTTCTTCTTCTTCTATCATTGCACTAATATTCTAAGTTTCGGGGAACATTTTGAACTTGGTGTGCAAACGAAAGCCCAAGGCAGACCCTCCAAGTGTCCCTATTTTATAGGGACAGTCCTGGATTTACAGAAGCTGCTCTGTTTTCTGATTTGATCCCGGAATTTCCTGCTTTTCCTCAGGATGTCCCTATTTTCATTGGAGAAATGTTGGAGGGTATGCTAAGGCAGCGAAAATTTAGGCTGAAATAATATGGTGAAATAAACACCCTCATCCTTGCTGAGATGGAGCAGCAAAGGGTGTCTCCTGCACCCCCTCCACCCTCAGGTAAAATGTAAATGTAAAGGACCCCTGGATAGTTCAGTCAAAGGTGACGATGGGGTTCCGGCGCTCATCTCACTTTTCAGGCCAAGGGAGCCAGTGTTTGTCCATAGACAGCTTTCTGGGTCATGTGGCCAGCATGACTAAACTGCTTCTAGAGCAACACAACACTGTGATAGAAGCCAGAGCACACAGAAATGCCATTTTCCTTCCCGCCACAGCAGTAGCCATTTATCTACTTGCACTGGTATGCTTTCAAACTGCTAGGTTTGCAGGAGCTGGGATGGAGCAACGGGAGCTCACCCCATCACACGGATTCGAACTGGCATCCTTTTTATTGGCAAGCCCAAGAGGCTCAGTGGTTTAGATCACAGCACCACCCATGTCCGTCCCCCCTCCACCCTCAAGTCAAATGCTTAGAACCAAAGACCAACCAAGCTATCCTACACCCAAAGCAGAAAATCAAACACATGCACACCCTTTTTTACTGCCTTGGCAATAAAATGCACCAAAAATAAATTAAATAACTAAGTAATTACATGACACTGAAAACAATTGCCTGAGGTGGCTGTCCCTACCAAATGGTAGAGTCTGCTTTGATCTCTTCCTTCAAAATTGTCTGTGTGCTTCCACGACCTGCCCTTTGGTAGAATATATTTCTTTTCTTCTGCTGCAGTACAGAGGCCTCTTCAGGCTTACGAGAGACAAACACAGCTACTTACTAATGGAACTTAATACAATCTAAAAGGCAATTGAGGCCTAAGGCCTCTAACCACTGTCAGCCAGCAGATGCCCCTTTCTACAGTTATTTATTGTTCACTTGCCTAGAATTCTTGCATACACTTTACCGCAAGTCCCAGACTTCCCCTTCCTACTCCTGTCAAGCAGCTCAAAAGGAATCGTGAAGGGTGAGCACTTGCAAACTGCTGCTACATGCTTCAGGCTGCTGGAAAATCCATTTGTTAGGAACTTGAAGGGCTTCCTCACCTGTGTAGCTAAGAAGCACATGGAAAGGGAGCTGGTGGAAGCCTGCGGGTGGCAGGGACTGGCTAGTACTAAAATCCAATGGAGACAGATCTCCTGAAAACTCAAAGATTCTCTGCAATGTTTTGCAAAATTATTTCATTTCAAAACATATGTAGAGGTGGCTACATAATGCCTATATTTATAGCCTCCTTATTCTTAACAATTCCATATAAAATATCACATTGCAAATAACATGACACGGCTCTTTCCTTGAGGTCTATTGCATGCCCAGGCTCCGTGCCAGAACTGAATACGAAGAATAGACACAACACAGTTTAAATTGGGTCAAATAAGGCCACAACTTTATTGACTGCAGATGTTAGAGGTTTGTCATAGGCAGTGGGCATAACCCTTGTCTTCCGACCCACCTGCCAGAAGTGAATTAGAGTCAACTTGGCAGCGGGGACATCCTATGACTTACATCAAGTAGGGGGACCCCCGCACGGGGTAGCAGAATTTCCCACAGAGGCAGAGGACAAGAACAGGAGTCATATTCTAATTCTTCAGTCAAGAGCTTCTTTATTGCTTGACTGGTTGCACAAGCATTTCTGTTACTATTATATACAAGCTATTTACATTCCTTCTCCATCTCTCCAGCACGGTATACAGTAATCTCAGTCCAGTAAGTAACAATCCTGACACAGCAAAACTCACAGTATCAGCAGCACACATTGTCTTACTTCCAAACTTGTTGTCAGCGTGCATTCTGACAGTGAATGTGAGTGTGTGTGTGCTTTCCTTGTATGGAAATTGCAGCCTGCAACTTCCTCCCTTTATTTGCACCTCCAGCTGACACCAGTCAAGCCTAGAGTGCCACTCCTACACACTAAAGAAAATTCTGGAACCTTCTGGAACCCTCTTTTAAGCTTCCAGGAACTTTTATCTGTTTCTTAAAGAATGTTTTCCTAACAAGCCACTCGTCCTGGAACCCCCTAACAGGATTCCCTGTCCTTTGGAGGGGCAGGCAGAGCTAAAACCACTCTTCCATCCATGACTAGGGTTTACCAAGTACCTAAACTGCTAGAGTTGTGACAATTGCTATAAGGCAGGCAAAACTACCAGACTGGAGCCAATTGGCCTGGTGCAGAGGTGCCAGCTTGCAAGGGCAATTGTGGGGGCCAATGTCACGCTTGTGATGTCAGGACATCGGGAGCAGCTGAGGGTGAAGCCAAACATGGCAGCCATGCAGCTCAATGGGTAGCAGCTCCTCCTCCACCTCCTCTTGGAACTGGAATCAGCAGGAGGTTGCTTCAACCCCCCTTCTCTTCCATGGCAGGAGGAGGAGTAGCTGACCATTGCAGGTCTAGATTCAGGTACTACTGTTATGTACTGATGTTCTCACCCTGGGCCAGCAGGGGGATACTGTAGATAGTTATGCAAATGAAGGATCGAAAGTAACATTCAGTGATTGGATAGTTTGTATGCAAATGAAGGATTGAAAAGTGACGTTCTGTGATTGGATAGTTTTAGAAAGTTGCAACAGTTACAATTGTTCTGGAGCTCTATATAAGCAGGCTGACTGAGCTCCTCAGTTAGTACTGTTCCAGCTTACAAAGAAAGAGCTGCTTTGGAAGAATAGCTGTGTCGTCTGATATGTTCGCCCACTATCTAACACTGGCGACGAGGATGGGATCGATGGACATCAGAGCACAGCCAGATGCGGCCATCCTCTGAACTGAGCTGAATCACTGAGCAAAATCACTGAGCGAAATCACTGGACAGAACCAATTCAGAGCTGACTGTTCTGGCTAGAACACTGTGTTTCATCCATCGCCCTTCTCGCCAGCATCGGAATCATGGCTTCACTTGTGCCTCTACCGCCGTTTGCGCCAGCCTCTGAATCATGGGACTCCTACCTCACTCGGTTCGACTGCTACCTCCAAGCCAACGAGCTGACAGCAGTATCAAAGGAATGGAAGCGGGGCCTATTCCTCAGCCTATGTGGGCCTGAGGTGTTTGAGACGGCCCGAGCATTGGTTGCGCCTGAAGCAGTCCAGGCAACACCATGGGACACGATCCAAGAGAAGCTCCGCAACTACTACGCGCCAAAGCCGTCCAAGATTGCTGCCCGCCATGCGTTTTACCACCAGAACCAGGCAGAGGGGGAGTCAATCAACAACTACACCACCGCCCTCTGACAGGCTGCAATGCACTGCGAGTTCCGAGACTTAGACGATGCCCTGATGGATCGAATCGTCTGTGGGGTCTGGGACATCCATCTGCAACGGCATCTCCTCGCCAAGCCAGACCTCACGCTGCAGAAAGCCATTGAGGAGGCTGTGGCCTCGGAAGCTGCTGAACACTCCGCCCAGGAGATCCGCAAGGCCAGCAGCCCACGTCTTGCTAGGAAGCCAGTTCCAGTGCATCACAAAGAGGCCAGCAGTGATGAGGCATCCTCCAGTGAAGACGATGACATGCACCAGACAAAGCGGGAGCACAGGAAGTTCCAAAAGAAGTCCAAGGGCCAATCGGAATGTGCCGGCTGCGGAGGCAACCATTCCCATGCCAAGTGTCGATTCAGAGACACCATCTGTCGGACGTGTTCCAGAAGGGGCCACATCGCTAAGGTCTGCCGATCGGCTCCGTCTGACACCCCCCCTTCACCAACTCGCAAGTCCAAGTCTTCACTCCAGTCTGCCAAGGAAAGCTGTTTCGCTCTCACCAACTGCCGCTGCCCGTCTGGAACCACGATTGGCCAAACCGACTCGCCTACGCGACGCAAGCTGAATGTCACGGTGCTCATTGAAGGAGTTCCATGTGACATGGAGATCGACACGGGGTCTGCCCTGTCCATCGTGTCTTGGAGCACCATCAAAAGACTGGTACCCAGAGTGTCCAAAAGGCAACTCGACTCTCACCGCATACACCTGAGAGACTACCAGGGAAACGACATTCCCGTGGTAGGCGTTGGCCGGTTCCAAATCGCCTTCAAGGATTTTTCAGGCCTGCTCTGACTGGTGGTGGTTGAAGGTCAGCGGCCAAGCCTCCTAGGGCTAGACTGGTTTGATGCCCTTGACCTGGAAGTCACCAGCATCAACAGCATCTCTAACGCAGAGACTGAGGGTCTGGTCAAAGACTTTGCTGAGGTTTTTGACGGCACTTTGGGGCAATATACAGGTACGCCCATCTCTTTTAGCCTTGATCCACAAGTCACCCCCATCAAGCTAAAGCCACGCCGGGTTCCCTTCTCTCTCAAGGCTAAGGTGGACGAACAACTGGACAAGCTGATCGCCCAAGGAGTTTTGGAGCCGGTTGACCACGCCAAATGGGAAACCCCCATCGTCACGCCTGTCAAGCCAGACGGGTCAGTGAGAA